GGAGGAGAGACAGAGAGGCTTTAAGACACTCTTTAACAGTTATTTATTTTCAGTATCTAGGAAGTGGAAGGAAGTGATTTGTTTTAAGTATTATAAAAATAAAGAATTACAGCATGTTCTGTGAGCTATTTTGGATGGTTGTAACATGTCAGCATTGCATCGTTGTGGGCAACAAATAAAACAAAATTAGGCATTATGGTGTTCTTTCCCACTTCTTGCCTGGGAAACTAAATGTTGTGAGCATGAATAATGTAAAGACTGCATTCCTTCACAGGAAAGAATACAATATCCCATCACGGATGCAATAATTTCCACCTCTGTGGAAAGGGCAGATAATGGTTAAGGATGGGCAACTTGAATATTTTTGCTTAAAAGAGTACTCCAGCAATTTTGTAGTGTACTACCTGGGGGAGTTCCTTGTATGTTTAGTAATCCAAAACCACTGGATCCGGAAAGTCGATAGTGTGCACATCATACCACAGACGCAGGCCAAAATCAGCATACAAAGCATGTGAGGAGAACGGCTGGCACATGGATGTTTGCCTGATGATGACCTTGTAGGTTGAACACATGATTAGATTTTGGGTAGCTTGCAAAATCCTTTCCTTGTACATTACTGTACATGTGTTTATCTCATCGTTCATGCACAGAGCAAAGACCTTTCAGTCGTTTCAATTTGCAGCTTCAGATGCTGGCAAATGACAGTTGTGGAATTATACAGGACACAGGATGTCTTTTGGAAACCAGTGATTTTAGAAACCTCCAGTTTGCTGCATCAAGACAGCCACAGTCAGTGACAGCTTGATGATTGTCATCTTCAGAACAGTCTATTTTGGGAAATATTCATATAAATGAAGATCCCATTTTGTGGCCACACACAGTGTCCATTATCTGTGGATATAACAATGTGAAACATCAGTGGAAAGTTAAATAAATCTTTACAGTTCTTTTAGTAACATTATTTAAATATCTCATTTTATTATTAGCTCCACATATAAGTCACGCTTTCTTCTGTTAGACCTGTTTATGTGTGAAGCAATTTTTCTGCCCACCTCAGGGCCCCATTATAAACAAAGCCGTAGTCCTGCCTGGCGTCTGGAGGGCCACTCAAGGGCAAGGCCAGCTGCACTGCGAGCGCCAGGGTCTGTCCTCGGCTTATTGTCAGCTTCTCTCACTCCCTTAACTGTCCCTAACACCCTGACAGTCCCCTACAGCAACACACACACACACGCAAGCACACATTAACACATGACTACATATGCTTGGTGTGACTAGCCACCTGTGTACTGTGTAGACACACACACACACACGTCACAGTCATTACAGCTACTGAGGATCGGGTTGCAGAGTAACGTGCACCCAAGTCCAGGTGGAGTACTGTAATGTATGTCCCAATATTACCGCAACAATACACACACGCACACACAGAGACCTGTATGTGCACTTCACATTCCTTTGCATTTCACTTTCTCTAAAAATTGCGTTTCCACACACCCCGACGACAACCAAACCTCTCCGCTGTCTGGAGCACACAATTGCACATGCAATCCGGAGGTCAAAGGTCTGTTATTCCAGTGAAAGAGCCAGCTGAGCAGGCAGCAACGAGACAGACTCCATGGGTCTGTGCATGTGTGCAAGTCTGCTCGGGCTAAGCCTCCGCAACACAAAGTGTATTTTTGTACATTAGCAAGAGTGCCTATACCCTATTTTTGCTTCACAGTGACAGTGTTTGTATCCAAACCCTCTCCTGCCAGTAACCCAGTCTATGGTTCATAATTCAGGCATTAGTGTGTCTATGCACACAGGACCCAGGGGCCACAGTGAGAGTATGAAAACGACATTAGACCACACGGATCACCTTTCACCCCCTCTTGACTCTCCTGAGCAGTGCCGCGGGGTTTAGGAGCTCCACAACACCGAAACCCTATCGCCATGCTGTTGTTTTGGGGACAATGGCTGCTGGTTAAGTATGGGGCAAAACGTGTACAATATTTCACACATCTGCCCCACGGTTCCTGTTCTACGGCTGAAAGACATGTTCTCTAAAAGGCCTGAAAGATGTAGAACATCAGGAGCACTTGCCAATGCTGTAAATCTTCTAGAAGATAGATGTAAGAGGAGGGTGAAAAATGATCTTTACATCACTTCACTTGGACACAGTATTGATAGAAATTTATGTGGTTATTTATCAATTACTCAATAATTAATCATCCATTAGGGCTGGGTATCAAACCTTAATACTTGATATGGTAAATGTAATAAAACTACAGCCATTACTGCAGTGGCGGAGTCAAACTGATCACACTTTCACTGATGGTGAAAGCATGAAGACTGTGTGAAGTTATGCAGTCTCAAAACTGGCTTTGAAAACAAAAAAAATGTATGTACCGGTTCAGTACGATCTGGAATCATACAGATTATACTCAGCTAGCGGGCTGGAACTGGCACATTGCAGGTAAACATCATAAACAACTTTTTTTTTCATAAGGTTGAGGTTTTATTGAGGCAGATGATACCAGCAATCCTGAGCATATGTGGATTTGGTGACTTGTAGGTGAAAAGATGTCTTGCCATCTGTCAAAATGAGACTGCATTTCATTAAAGTTGACTCGTTGATAACTTTCTTTAACTAAAAATATACAGTTATTGAACTTTGTGTAAGACTTTCTTGACACTTTCTTGACACTTTCTTGAGTAACCTGTTTGTCTGCATGGCAGTGTCAGTTTGACGTCCTCTAAAATTCTCCGTCTCCGTGCCAAGAAAAAGCCATGGATAACAGCAGCAGAGCTTCAAACGAAGCTTGTCAAAACAGTCTTTCCACTGTCCAATTTCATTGCCTTGATCCTCAGGAATACCTTTGCAAAGGCAGAGGAATGCATCCAAGACCCTTCCAGCCTCCCCTCCCATAGTCCTGCTCCGCTTCAACAAACACCCCAAAGTCCTGTTTGTTTGCTCTGAAAATAAGCAGCCCAGGGCCTGTTTTTTGAGCCGCGTGGCATAATCTCTACAGCGATGACGTCTCTGTCTGATGTAGTTTTGAGAAGTGAGAAGAGTTTTGGCAGGGTCCCGCGTTTTTCACATGTGCTTAGTGCTAGCCGGTCCGTTCTGGAAGTACAAAGAGGAGTTACGATGGATCGTGAACTGAATTTCTGGGTAAAGGTAGACATTGTAAAAGTGTACTAACACACACAGGTTCACACATAAAAGTTAGCCTGTCCATCATGTTTGAAGAAGAGAAGATGTTTCTTCTGCCTCAGCCTACAGACTTTGTCAAACCCTCATCTCTTGCTACGTGTCCATATCTTTATCCAATTTAAAATCAGTTTCAGTCACAAACTGTCATTTCTTATCCGGTTTGCACTACTTCTCTGCTCTTTGCACACTGAGTAATTCAGAGCAGATCAGCTGGCTGCGCCACCTCACAGCTGTGCGTTTGGCATAAAAACATCCAACCTGTCTGCCAGCTTTCATTTTCCTCCTCCTCAGTTTGACTTAACCATTGTCTCTCTAACTGCAGCCACTGGCCTTGAGGACATTTCATTTACCCAATGTTTGTTTCTGCGTGCTTGTCAGTTAGCCGGGTTTCTCTGCTTTTCCTCTGCTTTTCCTCTCCATGCAGTGCCATTCGTCTCGGCTATGTAATGTCACCAAGAAAGAAACTTTCCTGATTTATTACTCCACCATTGTTCTCCTCATCTTCAAAGCTTGAATTTGAGATCTACACTAAACAAATGATGCAGCGTGTTTCTCACGAACCACAAATAATGGTCTTATGACCCCGGCATTGCTTTCGGTTGAGACAGAAAGAGATCATGAGTCTGTAAGTGATTAAAACCAACTTCCTATGATGTAAAAAGATTAGTTTTTACTCTCAAATTCAAGGCACTGTGAGGCACTTTCAATGAAGGCTTCCACAGGTCGTCATAATCATTCTACCTGTGCTCCCTTCTACCTCCTTGTGACTCCAGTGAAGGGGTCATCATCCACTGAAGCTGAGAAAACAACAGAAAGCTCAGGCCTGGTCAGGCGGCCAGGTCAAGGACCTTAAGAGGCCCGCCACTCTCTAGGTCATTAATAATTAATGAAACCCGAGGCTGGGACAGGAGGCCATGACTAAACACAAAAAGAGCCAGAGCAGTAAGAGAGCAAGGCTAGGCAGTAAGGGGAGAGGAGGGAGGGCAGTATTACAAGAGAGAAAGGCCCTCAATCCAATTTTGGACAGTCTGTGCTTTTACTGTATGCTCCAAAGGCTCCAGACACAACAATGTGCACAACCCAGCGACGTTTGAAAACCAAAGAGCGGAGTTGGAGTGACAGATTTTGGTTCTAAACTCAAGTGAGGAGACGGAAGTAGAGAAAGAGGAGGGCGGAGAAAGAAAAGCAGGGTTGCCCAGTTGGATAGAGAAAAAGCAGTTCATGGAATGAAAAACAGCATGAAACTCTCCTTCGCGGTTTCCCATGAAATCCTGCCGTCCTCAAACTTCTATTCAACAAAGCGCGTACTTGCCCTAGAGGTACTATCACGCCGAGACCTCCATTACGAGCACAGCCTGATGAAAGAGTAGCTAAGGGGGGCTTAGAAGGTTTGGCTCTTAACCCTCCCCCATTGGGCCAGATATGAAAGAAGATAGTTCAACTTGATATATTAATGAGCGTTTTTTAGGAGAGCAAACTGTTTGGATAAAGTTATCCAATCTTGCTGACGATTCCCAGAAAGTATGGTTAACAGTACATTATTTAATATGTGTGCCAATCAGTGCTCTTTACTGCTCACTCCAGATTTTTATTCGTACAGTAGTTTACTACTTTGAAGTGGATGTTCTTCAATGTTAAACATGACCACACTGCTGTTGCTGACATATCTTGGCTGCGCTTTATGTCATATTAGTGCCTGTAACCACAAAGGAAGCACTATCTATTATTCTCACTGTATATTTTGTTATTCTTGGAGCACATTTCAGAGAAATATTTCTAACTAAGGTTTTTGGTTTCATTGCAGACTTCATCGGATGAATGCGACCCACATGAAGGAATCCATGAAGGGAAAGAGGGCAAGTACCACCTGCAGGTGACCCAGTTTGTCCAAAGGTTGGAGTACTGGCACAAAGATTTGACAAACACCTTGGTTACCTCTATCACGGTGGTGCCAGTCCGTGGCCGTGCAGTGGCATACCTGGGCACCGCCGATGGACGGCACATACAGGTAAATAAGTCACATTGTTCTGTCCTTTTTTTTTTTAAATGATTGTATTTAAAAGACTGTCAAGAAGCTAATTTACATGGAAAATACCAGCATAAACAGAGACCCTGAGGCTACAGTGGCCAGTGCGGTTTCCCTCTCTCATTGTTCATGTAAATGTGGCAGGATGTTGGTACGTCAGGAGTGAAAGCAACCTGCTGGAGACAAAACACACAGTCAGCTGCAGGTACCTTTGCTAGATGCAGGTTGGGGTAAACTATGAGCAAGCAACAGGACCTTTCTGTTTGCACAATTTGCTTACCTTTGACCCTTGTTCAGTAAACCTCCGAAAAGCCTTCGTTCCGGTCTGCCATCTGAGCAAACACAGTCGGTTTAGTCTATCATTGAACAAATCCAGCAGTTGATTCCACCCACAGGATTGTTTGTTAGCTGCTTTTAGCGTCTCATACATGACCTTTCAATACTGCTTGTAGGGGATTGGGGATAACTTGAAGTGATTATAGGGTATTGGTATTGACATCTTTGCACTTTTTGCAGAGGATATGTATCCTGTTTAAAGGGCCGTTTGAAAGAATACATGGAAATTAAACCAAAAAGCAAATAAATATATAAAGCAAATAAATATATAAATAAGAAATACAATAGCACTTTACACCACACTGGTACACATGATGCAGGGAACAAGACCTCACATACACAATTGACAGCACATGATAAAGACACTGGATTGTATCACGCTACTTTGTAACATAATGAAAACCATTAACAAGGTCTGAAGAAGAGGCCACCCCTGAACCTTCTTGCTTTCTCCATCCATCTTCCATTAAAGTTATGTGCTTTTTACGCCAAAATATGCATTTGAGCCCTGGCATTGATTGCAAGTTGTTTTTGATTTGCAGTGCTGACATTAATACGTGCTTTCTAAAGCTTTAATTAGTAGCTTTTGCCAAGACTGTCAGAGAGGTTTTGTGTCTCTATAGTCTCATCGGAGGCCACAAGTAAGCACTGATTTTGTGACTTGCAGGTAAAAGGATGTGTAAGCATCAATCTGAAAAATTGTTTCTTAGACAATTTGCATTCATCAGTTATAAATGACTATGGTAAATACTTTTGAAACAATGGCTGTATGTAATTAAGACATCTGAAAAAAACTCCATCAAATTTAACCCAGTTTTATGTGTAGACACACTAATCACTCAATCATTGTTAAGTGAGAATATGTTTGCATGACTCTCCAGACTGGCACATGAAATAATTTTGTAGCTTTTAGTGCCAGTGCACCTGCTGTTATATTGTGGATTTGGCCTGTTGGAGGTCAGGTAGTTGCCTTATTTTGTATTTTGTTTTGAAGAATCATCAAGTGCTGATTATAAAGGGTAAAGTATAACATTTTGGCATTCGACTTACAGATGGGAGGCAAATTAAAGGAAAAGTCTGAATGAGTGGAGAAACATGATGAATGCAGATGCTTTCGAATAGGACACGAGGCCTGATTGAATGGTTTGATGATAATGAACATTATGTGAATCAATTAAACACCTATGGGAGAATGTAGAGGGTTCCAGAGAGTTTATTTTTTTGTTTGTTTTTTCCTATGAATTGTCACCAATCTGTAATTATCTCTGTATGACTAGACTGTGACTCACTGTATAGTCCCTTTCTTTTTCCACTTCCTTTTTCATGTGGTGTTTAAGTTATTTTGTCCATCCACTCTAACAGGACAACTATATGCATGGAGTGGGTACAGCTGCAGAGGAAAGCGTAGCGAGTGACGTATCAGTGAATCAGTATGGTGCTGGACCAAAAACAAGGACGAGTGGAATGAAACATATAAAGTAAAAGCTAAATTACCTCACGTGTTTTTGAAACACAAGAATGAAAAGACACACATGGAAAAGAAAAAGGCAAGAGAGACGTGGAAAAAAGCGCCGACAGCTGCACGGAAAGGGAGGAGGGGAGGGTGGAGATGGTGGTAGTGGGGTGTGAGGGGGCTTACAAGCCGAACGGCACGTTAATGGTGAACGGTGGGCTTCGCTGGCACGTTCCCTCGCACGGCATTTTCTACTCACTGAGTGTCCCGTGCAGCTGTTGCTGGGTGTTTTTCTACCATCAGCCCCCCTCCCTCCTCTCCCAGGGCCTCCTTCAGTTTTTGTTTTGTTTTGTTTTTTGTGGTTTGCCGAATTGGCTGAAGTTCTTTGTTTCAGCTGAAGAGTTTTAGAAGGTCTGAAGAGGAGAGCAGCTGTCCTACACTGCAGAAATCTCCATTTAATCAAGTAATTTCTGTCCATCACTGAGACAGAGAGAGAGAGCAGACAGAATGAACTGAACACTGATTTTTCTTAACTTTTATTAGCTAGGAGTCATCCATAAATGTTACATAGAGGAAGAGAGAACCCAAAGAAAGAGGGTGGAGAAAGAGAAGGAGACAAAGCAGGAAAAGTAAAGCCAGAAACCAAAAGAAATTTACTGAGCCAGAGAAAGGAATGAATCACAAGGGATGATGAAAAGGTAGTAGAGAACCTGAAGAGGACAACAGGAAAATAACTGAGGAAGAGACAGAGAACAGTCAGTGATTTAGTTTTTTAATCTTGATTTTCAGTGACATTCTATTCTGGTAATGTGACAAAATCCCAGTTTTTAAACATAATTTGTTCATTTATTTGGGTTCATTGTACAGTTTTGTTTATAATATGGAATATACATGAAATATGTCACTTAAGCAAGAGTTGTCGGTTTAATGAATTATAAAAAAGAGGTCCCTTGAGGAAAAAGCTTGGGAACCTCTGGTTTAGATGATCTGGCTAAACTTGTTTACAAACCCAGTCAGACAACTTATGTTTGGTGCGCTCGACTTCCAGAGTAGTATAGTATTCCCAAACTGCAGCACTGTAAAATGTCATCACAGCTGATGCCATGATAAAAGATACCAAAAGAAAATTAATTGAAGCTGCAGTGGGTCCTGACAGTAAGTACAAGATAGATAACCTGTCTAACACACCTGAATGAAAACAACCAATCAGAGCCGAGAAAGATAGGTGATTGTTGAGTCTCTGCAGGGATCCTAAGTGGTGGTACTTGAATCTTTGCTCAAAGGTATCCGGTTGTGACTGCAGTGTCTCATTCACTTTCCCAGCCCTGATTGTCCAAGGCGTGCATTTGACCTGACGACCCTCCGGCCACCTGCCCTCTCGCAAAGATAAGCTACAGAAAGGATCTGTGAGAGGGATGGTCGCCTTTGCTTTGGCAGCTCATTTCATTGTTAGCACAATAAAAAAAAACTTGTCAACTTTTCATGTATTTCAGCTTCCTGGTCACTCCCAGTGGACTAGACAAGAGGGGACGTGGAGTTGAGGCAGTGAAAAAAAGCGTTGTTCCCCCCAGTGGACTCCATTCTGGCTCAGGAAGTGTTTCCCTCGGCTTCAGTTGGGCCACTGTGGGAATAACACAGTGGCCGTGTTTATAGGCCAAACTTCCCCCCGCCTGCTTAATACAATAAGCTGTAATTTACACCGCTATTACCTCCAGAGAGATGCCTGTTGTATGGCCTCGTCCCCAGCGGAAAGCCACCCATTATACTCGCTGTTACAAAGCTAACGTTGATCATGAGGCTCAAACAGAGGGAGGAATGACGCTGGAAAACAAGGCATTTGTGAGGGTGAGCCGAGGGTGAGCAGTCTGTCAGCCAACCAGCAAAATCACATTTAAAATTTACAATGCAGAGTGTTACAGGTATTTACTGGATACTCTGACGTACGGATACTTTTAATAAGTGGATGAGAACACATTTAAGTGCATTGTACAGTGTTTTGTTTAGTACAATAAATCATACGCACATGCCGTAACTCCCTGTACTGTATCTATTTGTGTGTGTGTGTGTGTGTGTGTGTGTGTGTGTGTGTGTGTGTGTATATATGATAGGGGGAATTGTAAAATTTAGAGGGCTTCATGTAACTGGAGCAACCACACACCCCATTAGAGACCCAGTTCTGTTTGCTCACAGGCCTGTAATTGCAGTGTAACCACAAATGATAGATGCTGTTCCAGGTGTGTTGACTGAATTTGTGTGTGTGTGTGTGTGTGTGTGTGTGTGTGTGGAACTAGTGCAAACTGTGTGTTCGTCGGCCTGTGTGTGTGTGTGTGTGTGTGTGTTTGGGTATCTGCGTTTATGTTTGAGCATGCATGTATATGACTTTTGTGTTTATGACATATGAAGTGTGTGTTGAAAGTGTTTGCGTGTGAGTCCTGCAGGTGTGACATACTCTGCAGAGACAAATAGAGTGTGTGAGAAAGTGTCTGTTTGTGCGATTGAGAGTGTGTGTCGTATAGTGTGTGCAGACTTGTGTGTCTGCGAGTGTCTGAAACACCTCCCAACATGTCAGAGTACACAATGTTTCCACCGTTGGCTGCATCTTCTTGTTCTGTAACCCAAACCGTTCTGTAATTTCTACCTTAACTCAAGTTATCAGCTAGTTTCAAAGTCTCTCCTAAAAAGTTTTAGTGCTTGTTAGGGTTCAGACGGTGCATTTTAAAATGGATGGACAAACCATTTATAGTGTTTGTTAGTGTGACTAAAGAAATACACCTTTTTTAAGGTCCTTATTTGCTGTTTAATAAAGAGTTTGAGGAAAAACCACATCAGATTCATTAGGGATGCACGGTAACTTTTTTTTATACCGATACTGATAACGGATAAGTTTCAGCTCCTAATGGCCGATACCGATTCCGATAACCGATAACACACACACACATACATATATATGATCATTACCTAAGATCATGACATTAATACTATGAACAAACCAAAAAAAACACTTTTGAATTTTTAAATGGAGGTATTGGCAAGCCTCTCAAAAAAAATGTAAGGCCTCTTGAACTGATGCAAATACATGGATTGGGATTACAAACTGAAAAAGTGCATTCCAAAAGTTCAAAAAAATAAATATATATATATATATATGGCGATCGATCGTTACAAATAACAAGCGACCTGTCTTCTTCAGAAACTTTGAAAAAGTCCCACACAATCGACGCCATGTTGTCTGTTGTTGACATGAGGGGGTATTCTTGAATTTTCCCAGTCAGAAAGAGTTTTTCTGATTATGTCAATGTCTCTTGAACGCAGCATTCACTGCAGGCCATTCAGGTCTCATAGTGGGGGCGGGGCACTGCCGTGCTGACAAAATTATATATGTTATCGGGGCTATTCGTCATGACATCGGACTTATCGGAATGACGTAATAATTTCTTGTTATTGGCCCGATAACTATCGTGCACCCCTAAGATTCATGTGTGAGGTAGCTCCACAAAGTATTTTACAGGCTTGCTTAGTCTGGAAGCAGCCACACAATATATGCCTTCCAACAACTCTAAATCTTATTTACATGTTGCATATTGTTAACAAGAGTCACAAATACATCCAACAGTCTGGTGACTTTTTCAGTAGAGTCTAAAAAGTTTTGTGAAACCGCCAACTTCATCATTGTGAGGAATTTAAATGTGCTGTGTGCAGTTTCTGAGGAAAGCTGCTGTTGGTTTCATATTCTATTTTTGCATTTATTATACAGCAACATGTTAAACACGACAGCCCTGGAGTTGTTTCAGGTCACCTTTGATGGCTAGCTAGCTGTTTCTTCTTTCAGATGAAATTGATATTGTTCTTTTCACTTAACTCTCATAACATAAAAAGGAATTTCCAAAATGTCAAGTGTAAAAGTGTTTACTTGACTTGCTTTGTAAGAGACATAAATGATTTTAGATACTATTTTTTAAAAGCACCGACATACACCTCCGAATGATGGAAGATTTGTAAACAAACATACTTCATTAATAACATGTCCAAATGTATTCAAGTTTAGTTTTCCAAACTGTGGTGAAATCTGACCAGGACAAGAGCCCTGTATTGCATATGCGGCTCACTGCACCTAAATGGAACAGACACATCATCAGTGGTATTAGTTACACCTGTGCTTTTCCTGCTCTGACAATCTAAATGTCTACAGTTAGAAAGGTCTTTTAACACTATTTTTCTTCATGACCGAGTCACTAAGAGGAAATACTGTAATGGAATTACTTCAGTGCAACTGGAAAGCATTATGGCCAAAAAAGACAACACAGGGATCATATTCCGCCGCTAACTCCTGGTCAAGGTGTGCTGGCACAGCGCCATAAGACATGTTGATGTCCTCTAGTTTAATATCCTCAAGGCTTGATTTGTTTTCAGGTGATACTGTGGATCTATTGTTGTATATTCCAGAGTCCATATAATGTTTCAGTCTTATTTAATTTATGGGGTGTATCAGTATTCAATGTTAACAAACGCAGCAACAAAGAAAAGCGGCGGTGAACAAAATACCATCTTCTAACCAGGTGTCCTTAGCTGACCTTTGTGCTGCTGTTTGCATGTGTACGTCATGGATAGATACAGTATGTCTCTTTAATTTGATTAAATTATACTGTATCTTTTGTAACAGATGTAGTCATTGTATAAGCCTGGTTTTCATTTTATGCCTGTTTGCAAAGTTTGGCTGCATCCACAAGACATATCAGCTGGTGGAGAGAAAACTATTGATTGTTTGATGAGGAATACAAAATACTGACTGCAGCAGGCACCATCACTGGCATCTATTACTAATTCAGAACAGATCATCAGTCAAACCTGAGGACGCTACAAGCGAAAAGCGTTGCTTGCTCTTAAATAAAATCACAGTGAAGTTATTCCAGTGTGCGGTGGTCAGTTCTGATTTCTCAGAACAGATCATGTTTGAATGCATGTCAAAAATGTCCATAAGAAATCTAGGGTAGTTTATCCGCACCAATAAACGTTGATTTCCAAGTGAAGTGTCTTAAAAAGAAGTATTCTTGTTACTAAAGCATTTTGAATAGTGTCTGGTTGCCTGCTTGCTTGATGTTTTCACTGGATCGCATCTCTTGCCGGCTAGTTTCTTGTTCTAATATGACAAAGTGACTATTACTCTTCTCAGTTCATTCTCAGCTAAAGATATAAGCTATAAGGGTTGACAGTGGTGTTGCTGCTACATTAAAGTCACCCTCCACTCAAACATGTTTTTCTTGTTGTATGTTTGAGCTTCACTGTTCAGAATGATGTATGTTTGACACTAGAAGGCTGTTTTCACATTCATCTGCTAAAAGTGGAAAGTTTGTCTGTGCTCATTGTAAATCTGACATCACCAATAGTTTGGTTGTCAGTCCTGGTCCAGTATGCAACTTATACAAGTGTGATGTAGAAACTTGAAGCCACCAGTGCACATCCACAGAGAATGGACTGTACAGTGAAGTAGGAGAAATCTTGTGTCCACCATCTGGAGTGGATCATTAATAAATGCACCTTTTAAGATGATTGCAATAACCTTTCCTCCATCCTTCAGGTGCTGTGTTCCCGAGTTGCCTCTCCCCATGTAGACATCCGCCTGGACTCGAGACCCGTCTCCGCCAGTGTAACGCTGCTGGATGCTGACCACTCTGAGGGAGCCTTGCTAATGGCCACAGGAAACAAGGTGGGCTTGGAACCTTCTGGTGCTTTTTGGTTATCTCCTTATCTCCTGGGAAGAGGTTTGTTGTTCCATGTAGAAAACATTTTACTATATATTTTACTAACAGTGTCCTGTGTTCATCTTATAACCATAACAAAAACATGATCCTGATGAATTTCTTGCAATAGAGATGATTACAAAATCTTTCTGGAAAGCAAATAAAGAGCAGAGCAAAGCCAATAGATAAAAGAGAATAATGCTAGAGGCTTACCACAAGGGTTCAACCAAACTTTTTGGTTTCTTCTTGTTTCTCTATTTCTGTCTGACACTGTGTTTTTACAGAGGTGAAAAAATGTTACATTATGCTTTCTGTCCTCTTCCTAGATCACTAAGGTCCCTCTGATTGGCCCCGGCTGTGATCAGCTGAGCACCTGTACTTCCTGTTTGCTGTCTTCGCGGGTGACAGAATGTGGCTGGTGTGACGGTCGCTGCACTAAAGCCAACCAATGTCCCTCCACCTCCCTCTGGACCCAGGAGTACTGCACACCTATCATCACCAAGGTAGCCACAGTCACTCATTGGTTTACTTTTTGCTCATTGTTCACTAGCCACTATTTTGGGAATATATTTTTGGAAGTATAAATTCGCCATTGTTTGCACTGTGTTTGCACTGTGCAAATACAGACACAACATGCCAGCTTCAAACTTTGTTCAAACTCTCTGCCGCACTTCCCTCCTTCAAAAAATAGCTCATGTAACCTGTCTGGTGAATCTTGTTATCTTCCTAGAATAGCAGTCCTTTTACAGCACCACCGTCCTATTTAACACTGCTCTGACATTGTGAGACTTTTCTGAGCTCAGTGTTTCATTTCTGCTGGCTTTAATGCTGCACCCCATGCTGTTAGGTTGTCTCCATATAAAAACACAAAAAAAGCTACCTTCAATGCCATAAATGCAACAAAATGGGTTAACAGGACAAGAACCTGTAAAAACTTCCTCTGGGTCTGGTCTAACAGGCAACATTTTGAAAGGAGCTGTAACTTTCTGCAGAGAGGTTGTATGGATGTTTCTTACACAACACTTATTTATTGGATGTTATCAGTGAGTGTCGCAGTTTAGTTGTCTTAAATCTCATGCTAGGATACCTTCATCTGTATCAATGATAACATGACAGGTAAATCAGTTAAATGCCTAAATAAAGGTGAAATAAAACCTAAAAAGTAGACATTAAGAATAAACAAATTGACAATGGGCAATAACAAACTGCTTTTAAGAAGAAATGCATTTTAGAATCTAATCCAACCCCACCCAAAAGCTGAGGAATTAAATATATTGATTATCTAGGGAAAGGATGATTCTTTATAGGAAAAAATTCTACCGACTTTCTGATGACTAATTTACAACTGTCATTAGTTGGATTGAATTCGGTAATTTTGTGATGCTTTACAACACAAAGGCACACTGATATGTAGCACAGAACAGCACTGTAGTTACAAATCAAACAGGTTCAAAAATCCTTGAGCTGGCAGATGGTGCAAGGAGGGAAAGGCTAAGGGTAAGGTCACATCCAGAATTTTAAACCAGCCAGTAAGGACAAGGAGAAAAGAGATACAACACCAGGGAAAGGCAGGTGTGTCAACAACAACATCCTCTTCGAAACAGGAAGCACAGAATTTATGGCAAAGGTTGTGTTGATTGGAAGAAACGTGAGTTGTACTTCGCTGGTCTTCGCTAGAGACCAGTAATGCTAACCATGGACTTAGTTGATGATGTTGAATCATACCATGGTAGTGATACTGTATTTTATAGTCCTAAAAGTTTATTATGATCTCAAAGTATTGAGTCAGTGTTTAAAATGTAAATGTTCCTTGTGCATGCATTAGGTTTTCCCGACCTCTGGACCAATACGAGGCTCTACAGTGGTGACAATGTGCGGGCACAACTTCGGTTTCGACAAGACAGAGAACTTCAATGCCGCTCTGGTAACATTGGAGGTGGCAGGAGCTCTGTGCAAACTGCCCAAACAAGACAGAATCAACAGGTGTGTGTGTGTTTGTTTTGTTCGGTTCAGGGAGCATACAGCTTTCACATCTCGCAAAATACATCACGTGCCTGTGTGTGTTTTGATGAAAGTTGTTGATGTCAGTGTGCATGTTATGGTATGAGCACTGTTCCTGCACAGTATCTGAAAGCCACCTTGGAGAGGCAGAGAGAGACAGAGTGTGTGTTAAGTGGCGGGTGTTTACGAGATAAAGGGACCCATACACTGGCGTCCTATAGGGGCAGAGTAGATTTTATAGGGGTTATTGTGTTGAAGAAAGAATGTTAAGAAGCCCCCCCACCCTCCCCTCTCTCTCCGGCAGCCTGCTGCATTCAACACATGACTCCGCTAACTGAAAAATTGCTGGGAAAAATCACTGCATCCAGACTTTCCACTCTCCCAAATCCACTGGGGCCATGTCCCATTCAAAAGTCCCTTTCGCTACAAACAACCTCATTACAAACTGTGGAGAAAAAAATAAAAACACCACCCACCAAATCCCAGATGAAGATGGCCTCTGTGCAGTACATCATCATTGAATTAGGATAAATGCTTGGTGGCTGTGGCAGGGTATAATGCCTTGTCTGTGTTGTGTTTTTGGGGGGGATGTGTTTAGGTGGACTGAGATTCAGTGTTCCCCAGTGTTCAGTGGGAATTTCACCCCATCAGGACACACAGTGAAGGTCACCAGTGGCCACAAGGTAGCCAAGATGGAGGGCTTCACCTTTGTGGTAAGAATTGTGTTTTTAACTTCCTTTTGATTACACTTTTTTGAAAAATCTGTGTATTTTGTACAAGTGAATTATGATTCTGTTTGTCTCACATCATGTAAAAAAAGAAGCAATCATATAAATGTGAAAGGTGGTACACACTGATACCAACTTCACACTTGAATAAATGTCAAGCTTTGACTGTGGTTCTTCAGTTCTTACTGTATTTGTGGTCAATTTCAACACAGTTTTTAAGCAAAGAACTTATATCTAAACATTAGAGTTATTGAAAGTATCTGGTCTGGTCTCTCCGTCCAGGACCCGGTGATTGATGAAATATTCCCGGCATTTGGGCCCAAGTCGGGAAACACCATGCTGACCATCAGAGGAGCCTTCCTGGACACTGGAAACAAACGAGAGGTGATGATAGGAAAAGCAGCCTGTAAGATCCAGAGGTCAGTTCAGTTATATTCTTATCCTTTCTTTTTTGTTTCTTTTCTTTTTCTCACTTTCTTTTCCTTACCCACTGTATAAAAGAAAAAGCTCTTCAAAATCAAGCTTGGCTGTTTTCTTATTTCCTTATAAAGCAACTAGGAAGGTTGCATTGTACAAACAGTATGTGCTACTAATTGTTTTTGTTAACATACTCAAATGTCCCTTGACATTACTAACTGGAGGTTTGGTTAATTGTTCTTCTTGTCTTATTTTCCCATTCTTTTCCCGCTCAGGCAGGAATCGGGAATTATCTGCAGGACTTATGCAAGAGAAATGCATGAATAGGGGCTTGAACAATACCTACCACTGTACATACTAACCCTACAATATGCCCTGTGTGTTTACTCATTTCCCTTACCCCCACCCCACCCCGATCTCTACCATCAGCTTGTCGTCTAACATGCTGACCTGTAAGACGCCTCCACACGCTTTTCCATCCAAGCAACCCGTGAAGCTGACGGTGGATTCGGTGGAGCGCCTCGCCCCTGTCCTGTTCACCTACAACCAAGATCCCATCATCAGCAGTATCCAGCCCTCGCGCTCCTTCGTCAGGTTAGAGTTCTATTCATTCAGAATGGGGTTAGCAGGCGGGATTTCAGTTCTCATCCACAGCGTGCTATTCTCCACATCTGCGTGGAGCACTGACCTGCTTTTCAGAAATGGTTTGGATATCACTCCCTGTTAACGTCAGCTCAACCAATTTCCTTCAAATTTGAGTTCTTTCATGTTTCTTCACTAAAAGGGGGAGCAAGACAGAGGAAGCGAGGGCGAGTTTGACTTAGCATATTTGTGGATGAGCCGAGACAGATTAATGCTTTAGTTTTACAGCAGGAGGAAATGAGTAGGAGGTGACGAGTGGCTAAACTGCTAACGCTAACAGCAGGTCCGTCCCAGTGGGGATCTCCTGTGTCTCTCTCTGATGCTGATGCTATAACATCCGTTCTCATCCCCCTCACTGTAGCGGAGGCTGTACGGTGGCGGCTCATGGCTTCCACCTCCAGTCCGGCCTCCAGCCCCAGATGGTCCTCACCACCGGTCAGGATGCTGAGGTGTTTCATGTGGTGAGTAAGAGAAGGGATTTGTATCTCAAAATGAGCCATCCATCATTTGGATTGCAAAGTTTGCACAATCTGAGTTAGGTTCAAGCCTTAGTTAAGCAAAAACAAAACCCATCTACAGTCTAGATCCTCTCTGAGAAATATATTCCTTTTTGGTCTTTATTATCATATGTCAGCATTTACATACAACACACAGGTACTGTGCAAGGCAGATAGGTCAACCACACGGCAACAACTAGTATCATATGCATATGTGCACTTGCGATGGGAATTTCTTTTAACGCTTCTAACATTGAAACTACATTTGTGTAGAGAGAGAAATAACAACAACCATCAGAAAGCACACAGAACGGATCAGTGCTACTTTGGAGACAGGCGTGTCAGTCAGTTGAACTCTGTGGGTCTCCTTTCCAACACCTGTTCAAACAAAAAATTGACTTAGATAAATAAAACCATTGTTTAATCTTTGTCGATCTTGAGATGCATAAACATGAGTGAGGCAAAATAACTTTTGGTTCCTGATTTGGGTTCTTAGTTTAGTTCCTGTGGCTCCTTCTATCCTTCGTCTATTTGCTTAAAGGAACACTAGAAATATCACATGATGAACAGCAGGCAACATGGAATAATTCTTTTAAAATTCTTTGCTGTCACATGCATGGTATTGTCATTATACATACTAATGCCCTCTTAAAACCATCTAGAAGAAAAAATAGTTCTTGACAATGGAAAAGAGCTAAAGTATCAGACAAACACAAGAAGAAAGGAAATGGAAAATCCACAGTCTGATCTGTAGGATCCAGCTGTCACCTCTGACTCAGGCACAGTAGCAGAGCGAGGACTTTCGGATGCTCTGGCTCTCCTCACCTCCGTCAGACTTTATTCTACTTATTGCAGGAAAATGATACACACAGACATGCTTGAAGCACGTCATCGCTCCATTAGACCGGCTGGCCTTTACAGCGACGGCCCGGAGGTGTTTTAAATTATCCGACCCTGACACTCACCAGGCTTTCACCACGCTGTCTGCAGGCCCTTAAAATGTCTGCAGTTGATGTAGCTTCATTATAAGGAGCCTTAAAAAGGTGTTAAATGTATATACAATGTCATTTACGAGTCTGTGCAGATTCTCAGTCATCCAGGTCATGAGTCAAAGGCAACAGGACTTGCTTTTTTTAGTCAGGAAGACATTTTGTGATTTCGTCAGTGCTACTGGCGGATCCCAGGCATAAGGACCTGGACAAGTGAAAGCTATAGTTAGCTATAGACTTGTTTTCCCTCCAAAATCTCGCTTGACTTATTTCAAGACATGTTTTTCTTGATTCTAGCACAGAGATCTCCCTTATTCTTACATGTTTCAAGATATTCAAGGCCCTCATTTCTAGAAAATATTTGAAAGTTGATTTCTATTGGAATAGATCTTTTTCACAGCACACAGCAACACTGTTTACCCTACTATTTCATGTCAAAATGGCTGCTGTGAAAACAATCTGAAATATCCTTAAAGCATTGGAAGATTTCGTAACTCGTAAGGAAATATCTGAGATTATCTGATAATATGCAGAGTTTTGCTCTGCTTCTCTCTGTCTCTGTTTTTCGAAAATTCCTTAACAACCGAATATAAAACTCCATAGGAAGATGTAGACCCCCACTTCATAACACTGACACGACATTCAGGAATAAAAACAATATACCTTTGGCCAGGGGTGTGCAGGACTACTGAAGTTTTTATTTTGCAGCCAGCGTTGTCTGAAGTAATAATACTGACCGCAGAAACTACCCACCATGGCTTCCCTCTATGTGAACTTACTGACCCTCTCAGTCTCACAGTTTGGGTTTCATTGCAGTTGTTGCTGAAATGATACCACATCCTTTGAAAGAAAAGAGTGTCCATTTTCATCGATTGAACAGCACAAATTCTCCACGTGAAAAAGTAATTTAACCTCTTATCGAGATCTGCCTTACATTAGCTGGACTGAAAAAATATGTGGCAACAGGCAGAACTGCTCCAACTTTTTTTATTCAAGCAACTTCTCTATAAACGTGGTGATACCTGTTCACCAATTTTGAGACATTGACCATTGTTAGGGACTTTTAACAACTTCCTTGTCTTATTATAAGAAACAAGTAGCTTCAACAGAGAGTGAATAGTATTTCATAGTGAAAGTGATATATTTCTTACTGAGTTGTAAACAAACAGCACTTTTTTCAAAGTGAAGGTGTGTTGTTCGTGTGTGTGATGTTTGCCTTTGGGAGGCGGTTTGAGGACAAGCAGTGCTTTGTAATGATGTTATCTGTCATCCTAAGGCACACGCTGCTGCAGGTTTAGTCAGGAGATCATAATGCGCTCAGTAAATACACACACAGAAATACACCCACAAACTCATACACTCATGGTATAAGACTTCCATCTCAAATGTTATACAATATCCCTTTATCTCGGATCTGTCTTTCCTCCCCTGTTTGTCTCTCTTTCTCTCGCACAGACAAACACACACACACACACACACAGACACGCACGCACACACTCCCTGCAGTGTCTCATCTTTCAGTTTCCCTCTCCATGGTCATTGACCTGTGTTCAGGTCAGTGGTTGATGGGCCTCTGGGGAGCTCAGGCTTCGTTTCACACAAACAGCGTGAACAGATGCAGCTTGAGGACTCTGAAATTAGGATTATGATCCAAAAATTGCTGGTTCGAATCCCTGATCCACCTGGAAAGTATCTGGATTTGCATATGCCACTGCCACCCTCCCTCAGCAGTTGCTATCAAGGCACCTTCGGGCACTTTTAAACTCCCAGGTGACCCCAATAGAAATGCTCTGAGGGTCAACACAAATAGGAGATTGTTGCTGCAGTTTAAAGGTCACAAAGGGCCAGGCAAACTGGACATTTTAAAGGTTGTAAACAGTTGGCCCTTTAAGTGATCATACACAACAAAGTGTTTACCAAAAAATTTTTTTTGTATTTCTTAGACCATAGCTACTGGCAGAAAGTGAAGCTATGATGTGTGTTTGTTTGTTTGTTTTTAGTCAGTTTAACTCATGGTTATGCTATACTCACATGGATTCAGGTAGACGGACAGCACCTTCTGGACAGTATGGGAAAAACAAACAACCCCTCAGACCGAATGGCAGGATGGCAGAACAAAACACCCGTTACAATTTCAGTGGTCATGGTATATATGGAATAAAATATATAGAATAAAATCGTTTGATTACATTTTGTGTAGATTTTTCATGTAATTTATTAACTATTAGCACCAGACTGCACATGTTACCTCTTTGTGTGGGGGAGCTATGTAACAACATGTTAAAATATTTTAACTTTGGACCACAATGCCATCTAACTTACAATAACTAACTAAGTAAATAACCACTGCCGGTATTCTCTGCCAGCCTCACCTAATTTTGCCGTCCTGCTCTCATGACATCTTGTTTGCTGCAATCCATATGAATGCAAGCATGAAGTATGTTTCTATTGTTGCCTGCAGTTTACTGTAACAGCACGATAGTTAACAAACTGGAACTGTGTTTCAGGTGACTCTTGCCTGTCAATCATACAGAGACAATTATTTTCTGTGCCCAAGGTGTAATATAATTAAACAGTTTTTTATCAATTAAATTTTTATAGTTACAAATATGGTATTCAGTTTCAGCTTATTCTGAATTGTGCTTGAAATTTACAGCCAAGTTTACTTGTTGTAACTTCACCTGTAATGTTAGATGAACGGGGTCATTGTTACATGTTCTTTATGTATCCGTTGTTGCTCCAGCATCGGGAGTTCACACCACAGCAGTCAGGGTTCACTTCACTTTCAAGTCAATAACACATGCTGTGACTTAAACCCATGCAAACTGGGAGTTTTTTTTACTTTGAAAACATTTTTAAACCCTCTCTGTTAAGGTGTGGAGAAAGAATAGCTCTAGAATGCCTGGAAGACAGCGTGTTGAAGCCAACCCTTGCCCTAATAGTTTATTGTTCATTTTAAATTGGAATAACAGACCAGAGAGGAATGGCAAAAACAAATTCCCTCCTAGAGAGAGAAAGAGAGCATGAAGTGAGCAGCCTGTATAAAATAAGGCTATCATTGCTAATGATTTAGGATGGGATCATGCCCCGTAGGGCCCCAGCTGTCGCCTGTTAAATTCCTTCCAGTAAACGGGATGAGTTAGGGCTCAGCCTGGGAAGGGACAGTGTAAGTGTCTTATTGTCTTAACCCCTCAAAATAGAGGCAAGGATCTTTCATAAACGGACAGCCCAGAGGTTTCCATCACCAGTGGAACGGCAATCTGGGTAATGTGAGCCAGCCTGTCATGCCTCCAGAGCTGCGTTCAAAAACCTAAATGACGGCCGTGCGATTGGTTTAGTTTCCGACAAGAAGCCACAGCAGCTGAATGACGAGATTCCGTTCAGTTTGCAAAATGTGTTCTCCAGTCGGGCAACCATCTATGAGATCTTCACACCAGAGCAGGTTGGAGAGAGGAAGAAACCAAGACTTGCTAAAAGCCAACAGCAGAGGTTCAGGGGCTTCAGCTGGGGCCAGAGCACGAAAAAGAAAAAAAAAACATCCAGTGTTGACTTGATATCTGCTTCTCAGATCTCCAGTAAAGCCTGGTCTCAGCCAATCTCAGCTTTCCCACAAACATGAAAGAGATTTTTTTTACGATGTGTCGTGAAAAGCTGGCATGGTCACAAAGCCAAAAGGGGGGCTGCACATACACAAAAAAACAGCGAAAAAAAAAAAAAGTGATCTGTGAATTTTCAGAGATCACTCACAAACCTCACAAACCTCACAAACCTCAGGGAGTAGAGTTCTTCACACAGTACCAGTGTTGCTTCGCCAGGCTGCACCATCACAGATAGTCTGGTTTAACTAGAGGCTTTGCCATAACCAGACACCTGTCGCCTGCATTCACAAATTGGCTTGTTTCGTGTCAGACCCTCTTCCTATCTCATCCCAGCGGGCTAAATCACTCCAGCTAACACCTGAATGCCTCATGAAGC